GATCACTATGAGGGTGAAGCTCTCCAGAGTGTTCCAAACTCCAGACAAAGCTCATTATATGTTAGATTAATTTATAGACTGCAAGCTCCTTGGGGAAGGTATCATATTGTCCTGTATAGATATAGAAGTACCTAGCAAGGAAGGATAATTCAATGGTTAGGGCACTAGCCCCGGTCTTGAGTAACCTGGGTTCAACTCCCTGCCCTGGCACAGACTTCCTGTGTGACCTGAGCAAGTCATCCCCTCTCTCTGTGCCTCAGTTCTGTACGGTGCTGTACAATGGGGATAATAGTACTTATCTCACCAGGGTGTTGTGAAGATAAATGCATTACAGATTGTAGTGCTAAGAATCTACAGTAACGATAAACTAGCCGGGCCTTTGGGGGCTACTGCAATACTGCTAATAATATTGTTATTATTGTTTATTTATATTACAGTAGACCCTAGAAGCCCCAGTCCTGAACAGGACCCCATTCTGCTAGGCACAGAACAAAAAGCTTATATGGAAAACGAAGAGTTGATCAGATATGCTATAACAGGGATTGGCAACGTTTGGCACATGGCTCGCCAGGGTAAGCCCCCTGGCGGGCCGGGCCAGTTTGTTTACCTGCCGCGTCCACAGGTTCGGCCAGTCGCGGCTCCCACTGGCCAGTTCGCTGCTCCAGGCCAATGAGGGTGGCGGGAAGTGGAGGACAGCACATCCCTCAGCCCGCGCCGCTTCCCGCCACCTCCATTGGCCTGGAGAGGCGAACCGCGACCAATGGGAGCCATGATTGGCTGAACCTGTGGATGCAGCGGGTAAACAAACCGGCCTGGCCCGCCAAGGGGCTTACCCTGGCGGGCCACGTGCCAAACATTGTTTATTTATAGCACAGGGATTGGCAAACAGGATGCATAAAAATCAATTTTTTAAAATTATCTTTTTATTTCAATTAAAAAGATTTCTCTTTTAAAAATAAAACCTGTTTAAAATTATGTTTGAAATTATAACAAACTATAATCTACTAAAATCACGTAAATTAATTATAAAAATATAATAATCAAGAAGTACATATTCTCTGCTGAAGTTTTAAAAGAAAGTCAAACCACTGAACTAGTGAAAGTGGCTGACAGAGCACCTGGAACTAGAGTTCGCTGAAGTGCTAAACCAGCTTTTGAGAGCAGTAGCCTCTTTTGCAGGTGCACAGAGAATATTTTCTTAATTTCAAATTTACTCAACTAGTTCAGCTCAATGACTAGCTCAGTCAAAGTTGAGAAACCGACCGGGAATTGAAATTTTCTTTAAAAAGCAAAAATGCTTGTTTTCCTCTTCCAATCTATGAATAAAAATCAGGTGTGAAAGAATGAAATCTACTAATTCTAAAATCTTGGAAGAACGTGGTGGTGACCAGGAACAGTCGCTTGAATTCAATAACTACAGATAATACTTTCTTTCTTTAATATAATGAGCTAGTTTTAAATGCAAAACATGTTTCGATAAACTTA